AAAGAGAATTAATAAGTGTTGACACTATACAATAGAATAATCCCATCTGCGTATATATTTTATATCATATATAAGGAAGAATTTTTTTTTTTAAGCCTATTGACTTCGACTTATTCGTCATAGGTCTTCTTTTAGCAGCTTTTTTGGGCTGTTATAGGCGACAGTAATGATAGTTTGGTTCTCTTGTGACGAAAAATAAAATTAGTTCGTAGAATAATCGTTAGTTTTTTTTATTACTTCGAAGAGGGTTAGATAATATTAATTAATTAGTATTAGTTTTAATAATAAGTATTAGTTTATAATGAGTCTTATTTTTAAGTATGCATTTATTTCGGATTGGAATAACCAACAGCTGATTGGGGGGAAAAAAAGACAGTCGAGAGAGATATGGCGGAACCCCGCGAGTTTTGAGGCACGCTAAGGATTTGGTTGTATGAAATACTTTAGTTTTACGGTGTACACCGGATTTTCTTTTCCTATCCATGAATCTGTCACTTTAATTTCAATTCGAGTGACGTTTGATTTTGCAAGCTAGTTCGAATAAGTTCCCGTTTCTTCAGATAACCCAATGTGCCAATTGGACAGAATTCAACCTGTGTGATATTGTAAATATGTACATATAAGTTTTTTTTCTATCTATTTTTTTTTTTTACCCCAAATATTTGTAATTGGTTTATTGTATAGTCATAAGTTAATGTTTAGTTCTATAATAATTTTATAATCTTTTTTTTGATAATTAAAGTTAATTGTATTTTCTTTGTTTTCTTATAAATCTAATTTCTTGTTAATAATTTTCATTTCCTTTAACAGTTATTTAAATTAACAGAAATAAGAAAATTCATCATTAGTATTAATAATAGCCAGTTTTATTTTCTTATTTTTCGTCAGTTTGTTTTCACGTTTTATGTATATATTATTTTTTTTTTTTTAGGATTAATAAGGAATTGTAAAACCCTATTCGAGGGATTAGGGAAAGTCATTATTAACCGAGTAAGAAGGTTTGATAGGTTATGAGGTTAATTAACATATGTTTTATATCCATAGGTTCCGAGTTCGTAGCTCACTTCGCGTCTAAATCTTTTTTTTTTTTTATTAAATTTATTTTATTTTATTTTCGTGGTTTTCGCTATTTTCCAAATTCAACAAATTAAATAGCGTGGCGCTCGTTAGAAAGTTATTAATATTTAATTGACTCTTGATTATTTTTTTTTTTATTTTGGCGAATCCTGCCGTCTCCACTGAGCATCCGGCAAGTTTGTTGCGGAAACGATTTTTCCAAATTAAAAACCGTAACACTCTCTTATTCAAAATATTCAAGGAGAAGTAGTTTAATAACCAGACGCGATGAAAATTCACTCCATCTTTAACAGGAACTTTCTTAAAGGATGGTTGGCGATCTTCCTTTCAGTTTTTTATGGGATAGGGGATTATCAGCCCTATATCTAACCTCCAACCAGGAAGACTAAGAGCTATAGTGTGAAGAAACGTGGGTCGCTCACCTCCCTATGAATCTTAGGTGGTGATGTTACCGTCTCCAGCGGGAATCAAACCCGCGCTGTAGTAGTATAAGTAGTCGAGTAGGACCTGCATTTTTAAAATTTTATCATTTTGTTTTGTTTTATTAATTTCCGCAAACGGTATTTGAACACTTGATATACAATTTTTGCAGGCGTCTTAACTCGCATGACCACCGTGACTCCAAATAAGGAAAACATGAAAACCTGCATTATTTTCCGAACGACCTAATAAAGCGGTCACAACTCCTCTTTATGTGGAGGAAATATCTGTAATTCTTATAGATAACTTCTCAAGCAGATCCGACTTCTGCTGATAAATTTTGGCATAATTTTTAGAAGTTTTTAAATTAATGGGAGAAGGTCTTGTAGTGACGGCAGTTGTTGATCTATCTTGAGTGCTGGACGTGATAGGAGTGGATTTAGGTGCGATATCGTTGGATGAAGTGACATTTATTTCTTTAGAAATTTTGTTGGTTGAAGTAACATTTATTTGATTAGAGACAGACGATTTCTGGTTGTTTTGGTGCGAGTAGGAGCTTCTGATATGTCTTCTAGGTTGATGAAAGCAGGAGTTCGTTTTTTGTTAGTAGCTACTTTTGTTTTTTTGAACTTTTGTCATTTTACAAGTCCAATTGTGACATAGTAATGAAGCAATGAACTTGGATACAAATGGCTCATACATCAGATTTGCTAGATGCGCTGCAGCGCAGGTGCAAATTCCATAAAATGTTAAAATAAATATTTATAATTATATATATATATTATATAATATGTAATATGTAGTAAGGGAAGTATTGCGATCGTGAAAATTTTCGAATGAGAGTTTTCAACGGAAATACACGTTTTGAGGTCTTCTGAAACCAAATAACGAAGTCTCGCAAAATGGTCTCTTTGTCTGTGTATGTGTGTGTGTGAATAGCCTAGCTCAAACGAACAGACGAAATTTAAGAAACTGATATTACGTATTTAAGGTAGTTATATGCCTTAGATGACAGCAACTTTTTCCTTAAAATCGGCTAACCAAAAGTGCAACTTTATATCAACGGTTAAACACATTTTTACAATTTTCTCAAAAACGGCTCTAACGGTTTTAATTAAACTCAGCATATCATTGTATAATTAAGTGTTCTTTAATATCATTTAGATCTTATCCCCATTGATGTGACTTTACAGAGCTTAAATGCCCAATGTTCATATACGTCTTCCTCCTTTAATATGGATTATTTTAAAAAATGAAGTTTTTTATTGAGAGTAACTATAAAAAAAAATGGCTAAATATGAAGTTTGAAAGGATATGATAATTGGAAACTGGGGGAAAAAGAAAAATGTTTATCCAGGTTGAAAATGAATCTTCGGAAATACTAGTCAGAAGATACAATTTATATTAATTAATAAAATAAAATCATTTCTATACAAGTAGAAGAGTAAGTGAAAGTTGTGTGTTGCGCGCACCAGATTTTTTTTCAGTTTTCTCCTAACTATGGTCATTTATTCATGAGTATTGGTACTAGAAGGTCTTTTTTTTCGCTATGAATGTTTTGTGAAGGAAAATTATCCTTATTATTCTCACTCGTAGGTCCTCCACTGGCTTCTAGTAGATATTGCACTTTACTCAGCAGCTAGCAGTTGATGGAAATCCATCCAAGGACGACTTGGTGGTGGTAGGGTATTTCGATGATGTGTTAATCGAGGAATCCTCATCAGCTCCTTAAACTTCACTTAAGTTCATCAACTTATAATAACTTTTGCGTATCAATCGCGAACGATGATGCCCATATTCTTGATCCTAGTCCGTGGTACAGACTTCTTTACGTACTGATACTGATTTGGTACAGGATCTTGTCGTATTCTACAACTTTTTTTTTCTACAAAATTTCTCTGAAATCGAGTGTTTTCTAGTTCAACTAATTAATTTAGTGAGATTCTAGAACCTGATGAATACCAATTTGCTTTTCACTTGAATCGTAAGATAATTTGGTTACAGTGAAAAAAAGGTGGTCTACAGAAATATTGACTTTCACTATCAACAGTCAAAATAACGAGGTTATTTTATTGGGCTTAACCACCAGTTTTTCTTCCTTATTCAATTATTTAATTTGGAGTACTCACTTCATATTTGCTAGGTGTGCCCAAGAGGGCCTCCTGAACTCTCGATCTACTTGATCGATTCATGAGTGATGTGTACTTGACATCATTCACTGATCAGGGATCACCTGATCACTGAGCATTTATGCTACTCTACCTACAGGCGGATCTACGGGGAGGAATGGGGCTTTCAGACTGAACTCTCCTCTCCCTCCCCTCCCTCCCCCCCCCAAAAATGGTAAATATAACCATAATTATGAGAAAAATATTAACAAATTATCTCTAAAAGTATTGTTATTCGTTTAATTATAAGTAATAAGATTTCAAGAATCACTTAAACACTATTTGATTTACTTACTTTCTTTCTTCTTCTAACGAAATAATAATCGTTATATATATGAAAATAAAAAAAAACCTTTGGGGCTGAAGGCCTCCTCCCAAAATTAAATCCTGGCTATATATAAAACTTCAGTGTATGGAATTCACCTGTACACAAATGTACATCCTCTTCCGAAAATCCCCTGATCCGTAGCTGGTTCAGACACTCACACTAACGGATTCAAGATTTAATTTTGGAGTGGGGGACGGGTTTCAGCCAGAATGATTTCTTTTTTGTACAAATATATTAGGATAACGAATTCGGAAGAAAGAAAGAAACTAACTAACAATTTGGAATGGCCTTTAAGTGATTGTTGAAGTCCTATTAACTGTAATTAGACGAAAAATAATACTTTTAAAGATTTAAACTTTTTTCATAAAACATGGTTATATTTTACCATTTGGAGGGGGGAGGCTTCAGGCCAAAAGCCCCTTCTCCCCGTAGATACGGCCGTGGACACACACAAACCATTTTTGAAACTCGGTTACTTGAACTCAGAGGATATCAATACGAATTTCCGATGAAAATTCGGATTCAAAAATTTGCACGATAGCAATAGTTTTCCATAATATATATATTGCCTAATATTGCCTAACATAATATATATATATATATATATATATATATATATATATATATATATATTTCGTATTTAGGTAAGAGATGTAAATAGGGGAGAGGTGGCCGAACACAGCATCCAATGCTCGGAAACCAGATGGAAGATAATTTGATAAAGTAATTACGAGTTCACATCCAGGTGCCTGGGGAGGGGGACTTTCACTCTGGCATTAATCCCTCGCTCTCACCCCTTGGAAAATCAGCTAATAGCCTTAAAGATGAGGAAGGAGAGGGCAAACAAAAAATATATATGTAGGTAAAATAAAGTATAAAGATTGGTGACTCCTGCAAAGGAATAAATAAATAATACAAATAGCAATAATCACAATATTTTACATAAAACATTTATATAAATAAATTACTTTTTTAATTTAAAAAATCCTTATATTATACATAGCAATTCAAATAATCGTTAGCATTTGATTATGAATATCAGAAAGCGGAATTCCTCTGGCCAAAGGAGGGTAGAAATTTGTTTCTATTTTGAATGTCCCATGTGCCCTGAAAATAAATAAATTATTAATTAATTAATGAATCAAACATAATTTTTGTTTGAATATTATCATTCATGGAACTTCTAGATCTACTTACTTAGGACTGACGTACTCTCCAGCCCTGGCCAGTAAGTTCTTATTCCCTGTAAAGGGGCAAAGCTCTCGAGAAATTCCAGTGAGGTAGGAGAGAATTCCAACTCCGCAGGGTTTTCCGAAAAAACCTTTATCAGTGTTGATAGACTCGGCGAACATCAGTACGGCTCTGTGATGGTCGCAGCTGGCATCTACAAAGTTATTATATCATTCCTTCAATCAGTTAGCATTCCTTAAACTGATGAAATGAAATGAAAAAAATAGTTTTTTTCTAGGACTAATGTCCCCTAAGAAAAATGATATAGTTTAAAAAAAAGTATGCAAATTAGTCTGGCGTAAAAATCTACAAAACAGTATTAGTTAATTAACGATTAGTAACTTTGTAATTATATGAACCAATAATTCTTATATATTTGGAGAGGTTTTAGTATGATGTAGGTGGAAGAGTATGAATTGTTTAAAGAATTTGTAGACAAGAAATGAAGTAAGGATGTTGGCTATGAGTTCCGAAAGGCAATAGCACGAATGGCGAACAATTTACTAAAGATAGTGAGTGCTTTTATGGGAGAGGATATATGCATCAATAGGTTGAGATATATTAGTTAGAGAATGAATAACGTAATGCATAGTAAATAGTTCTGAGATGTAGAGACATTTTTGACTTGGAAAAGGAACCCCAAGGAGGCTTTGCCGTCGGGAAGCATAATAGAGATACTTCAACTCGGTGAACCAGCAGGTGATTGAACATGCCTAGGAATCCCAAAGATCGATCTTACTGGTACTGGTAAAAAAGGGGAGAGCTGATACGGCAAGTGGGCCCACTGATCGTTTGTCGCAAGTTGGCCAACTTCCTTCCATGCCCATTCGAGGACTTCTTTGCGTTGATATCTCTCGGAGATGCCTAATGGATTTATGCCCAATGAGAGCAAAGATAATTCATATAAAACAAATCATGTCTCTTCAGTCATCTTGCATACGGCCTTCCATTCACAAAGCAACCAAACAAAGAAATATGAGGAAACCAAGGAAACATAAGAATACCTGAGAATCCCAAAGATGAATCTTATGAAACAGTTCAAGAGTCCCCTCAATCTCATCTTCAATCTTGTAGACAGCCCTCTATACACCAAGCAAGCATAGTCGAAGTAGGATAAAACAAGAAGGTTAAAAGGAGCTGTCTGTTCTTTTGAGGAATAAAATCACAAAACCTTGGGAGTTGTTTAAGAACAGTTATGGATTTTCGAGTGATTTGGGAGATATGGTTATTCCAGGAAAGATTCAAATCAAAGGTTACTTAAAGGTTTTTTACTGTTGGGAGAAAATAGATGGGATGTTTATCAAGGTAAAGTGGAGGAGAATAAGGGAGAGAAAGAATAAGTGCCTGGAACCGGTGAGGATAGTGGTAGTTTTTTTCTAAATTCAGCTTCAATTCATTCATTTCTGCCATTCATTGACATAATCAATAACCTTTTGTAGCAACAGTATTCTCAGGCATCTCAAAAGGTTGGGAAGATTGGTAGATTTGGAAATCATCAGCATATGCAAGATAATGAGAGTGACGAATAGTGTGGGGAAGATCGCTAATGAAAATATAGCGAAGGGTCGAAGACATTGAGGAACCTTGAGGAATACCTCTCGTCAATCAAAGAGACGAAGAAGGAGATTTATTAGTAATGATAACTGCCTGGAAGCGATGTGGTAAATAATA